GCAGGCCGACGCTCTATCCACTGAGCCAAACCGGTCAGGGCTTCTTTCTTTCTTAAAATATATTTTTTATTGATCTCAGAGAGGAAGAGAGAGGGAGAGAGAGAGAGAGAGAAACATCAAAGATGAGAGAGAATCATTGATGGGCTGCCTCCTGCATGTCCCACACTGAGGATGAAGCCTGCAACCCGGGCATGTGCCCCCTCCGGGAATTGAACCCTGGCCTCCTGGTTCATAGGTCGATGCTCACCCACTGAGCCAGGCCGGCCGGGCTGTGTCAGAGTTCTTTTCCTTGCACCCTGCCCTCACTATGTATTTGTCACCTGTGCCTTCCCCAAACGTTGTATTGATTTTTAGGCACCGCCCCCTCTCCAGCTTTTACAACTTTTGCTTATTTTCCCCACAACTGTGGCCCTGTCCCTGGCCCCCACCCATTTGCCAAGGGGCTCTGGGAGGGAGGGGACAGGGAAGGGACCAGAGGAGGAGAAGTCCTCTGTCATTGGGAGTAGAGACAAGGGCAATGGGTACCACGCGGGCAGATGGCCACTTGGAACCAGCCATTCAAGGTCACTGAGCTGTCACAGGCATCAAATGGATGTGGCCACTCAATACGTATGACACACAGTCTTGGCTCCGGAGCTTGGACACCTCAGCCAAATGCAGTGTGTCATACGTACAAGGACACAGGCAAGACCACACAAGGTCATGGGCAAGGGGGCGGGCACCACGGGGCTTCCACACGTGGGAACTGATATGGGCAGCACTTGAAGCTGAAACTCACTTGCACCTACATGAGTTGCAGCTTCAGGAATCATAGACCTTACAGGGCCCTGCGGTTTAGCTCAGTGGATAGAGCATCGGTTGTCAGACTAAAGGTGTCTGGGTTTCATTCTGGTCAAGGGCACGTACCTCGGTTGCAGACTCAAAAAATCAATGGAGCCCTGGCCGGTTTGGCTCAGTGGATAGAGCGTTGGCCTGCAGAATGAAGGGTCCCAGGTTCGGTTCCGGCCAAGGGCACCTGCCTGGATTGTGGGATTGATCCCCAGGGGGGGGGGGGGCGGCGGGGGACGGGGGCTGTGTGGGAGGCAGCTGATTAGTGATTCTCTCTCATCATGGGTGTTTCTATCTGTCTCTCCCTCTCCCTTCCTCTCTGAAATCAATAAAAATATATTTTAAAAAAAATCGATGGAGCCTGGCCAGCGTGGCTCAGTGGTTGAGTGTTGACCTAGGAACCAGGAGGTGTTAGTTCGATTCGCGGTCAGGGCACATGTTCAGGCTTCGGGCTTGATCCCCAGTGTGGGCGTGCAGGAGGCCGCCCATCAATGATTCTCTCTCATCATTGATGTTTCTATCTCTCTCCCTCTCCCTTCCTCTCTGAAATCAATAAATATATATTTTTAAAAAATCAATGGAAAAATGTCCTCGGGTGAGGATTAACAACCACAACAAAATAATAATAAATAAGTCTTAAAAAAATTCACAGCACAGGGGTTCATATGTGTGTAGAAATGTAGACAGTTAAGATGTGGGCACGCGTGCCAGCATGCACACACACACTCACAGACACACTCACATACTCACAGACACACACACACTCACAGACAGGCTTGCAAACAGAAGACCCAGCGTGGGTTCGCACACACCAGGTCACAGGTGCTCACACTTGCACATGGGGGTCTGGACAGACAAGGTGGGGTCTTTAATAAAGGTACATGTGGAGCCCTAACCGGTTTGGCTCAGTGGATAGAGCGTCGGCCTGCGGACTGAAGGGTCCCAGGTTCGATTCCGGTCAAGGGCACGTACCTTGGTTGCGGGCACATCCCCAGTAGGGGGTGTGCAGGAGGCAGCTGAACAATGTTTCTCATCGATGTTTCCAACTCTCTATCCCTCTCCCTTCCTCTCTGTAAAATATCAATAATATATATATATCTTTTTTTTAAATACATGTGGATAGACACTGACATGTACTCAGGCCCCCCAAAACTTATTCACAGCCATGGGTCTCTAGTATCGTGGTTAAATTTGGAGGGATAGAGTTATACCCTCCCTCAACCCCCACCCCGCATCCAAACATATTATCTGTGAGTCTCTGAGCAAATTATTTGACCTCTCTGTGCCTCTGTTTCCTCATCTGTAAGATGGGATTGTTGTAAGGATGGGATAGGTGTGTGTGTGCGATGCCTGACATACGGTGACAGCTTAATAAATGTTAGTTATTTTAAACAAAGGACTCATAGATTTATTGATGCAGATAGAACGTGTGGATGTCCAGGTTGTGGACACAAATTTAAGCCAAAGTCAGTCAGATGTATGACCAGGCCCAGATCAAGATAGTCCAGGTCAAAACTGTGACTCAGGCCCAAGCCACTCTGTGGAGACTCAAAGGGCCATGTCTGGATGCAGGGTCTGGCCCTTCAAGGTCAAGGACACATGTTTCGCTGGAGACATATTTATCCATCTCTAGATCAGCCTCCAAGTCAGTTGCTTGGCGTTCAAGTTGAACCTGAACCAAGAAAAAGTCCCGGAGGTACAAGAAGGAGCCGTGGGGGGCTGGGGGCTGGGGCTGAGGACCTGGGGGAGAGCGTCACTCATCACATGTGTGGGTACCTGGCTCACACATAGATGAGCAGGATCGTGCACGCCCCCTCCCTCCAACAGCACCACGCACCAGGACACCCACGGGGATGTTTCAAGGTCACCGGACCGTGACTCCCTACACTGGGCAACATGCATGTGACCTCAAGGTCACAGCCAGGCACACAATGCCACCCACCCTGGGGCAGGATTTCACCGCCAAGATCAAATGCCCATGCTCTTGGCCCTCTAGGGTTGGGAGCTGGGCCAAGGGCCCTGGCAAGGCAGGGAGAACTGGGATGAGGTGGACAAGGGAACATGACTTAACAAGGGAAGGGTGGGTCGTCCTTCGGAGAAGGGCAGAGGGTGCCGGCTGAACAGCTGGGCACCGAGGCCGCACCTGGCCAGTCCCAGCCGGAGGAGGGTGGGGGGCGGGCAACGGGGCGCAGCAGGCAGGCGGGGAAGAGAGAGCACGGACAGAGCCCAAGGGGATGCTGGCAGCGGGTCGGGGAAGGGGAATGAGGGGAGGTTGGAGGCCCCCCCCTGGGGCGAGAGGGTCAGGTGTGTGAGGGAGTTCATGAAAGTCCACCCTCGACTCCCCCAGGGTAGAGGCATCAGGTTACAGTTAACTTCTTCACGGGTGGCAGGTGAATGTGGGCAGGAGTGCTCCTGCCACCTGGGGTCACCTTGACCTGGTGGCTGCCCCTCTCTGAGTCACAGGCCCCTCTGCTGCCAAAGGAGGCCCGTGGCCCACCCCGCGGGGATGCTGCCTGGATCAGGTGACCCTCCCTAGCGCCGAGCGCCGCGCCTGGCACGTGCTGAGCGCTCGGCAAGGCCAGCGCATTCTCACAGGGCCCTCCTGGCGCCTCCCACACCTGTTGCTCTCTCCAGGGGACAGTGGGGGAACCTGTCACAGACGTTGAGTGACCAGAAAGCGGCAGGGTCAAGAGAGGAGCAGCCCCCAGAACTGAAACCCGGGTCTGTGCCACCCCAGGGTGGCTGTGTCTGTTGTGATGGGCCGTGAGAGGCCCCACGTGGCATGGGGACTCCACGGCGGTACCCCCCCACCCTCCCACCCCCCACCCCGCGCCTGACAGCTGTCGTGATGGAGTGAGGACTCAAAAGATATTGGCAGGTGGCCGAGGTGGGGCAGGGGGGAGGGAGGAAACCAGTCCTCAGTTGGTTTCTGGGTACGGGAGGGGCTGGCAGATTGCAGGGCCTGGATATGCTCAGGATGGGGGAGTGTAGGGAGCACCCCCCTCCCACAGGCCGGTCCCCACCTGGCCCGGGCCCCCCTCACCTGCAGACATCAGCAGGAAGGAAGAGACGAGCAGCCACATTGTAGAGGAGGGACCGGGGCTCTGCTGAAGTCTGGGGG